TGGGGGAGCAGTACAGATTTTTAAGCTCGTCATTGTGCAGTTTTCTCCACGCCCCATCGTCTCCTGTCCTAGACCCAAATATCCTCCTCAACACCCGATTCTCAAACACCTGCAATCTGTGTTCCTCCCTCTGAGTGAGAGACCATGTTTCGCACCCACACAAAACAACAGGGAAAATTATCGTTTTGTGTATTTTAATCTTTAGGTTCTTAGAAATCAGACGGGAAGACAAAATATTTTGAACTGAGAAGTAAAGCATTTTCCGTGGTCGTGCCAAAGAGTTCATCCTCATCCGTTTTCGCAGTCAGAACTTTATTAAAATTCTGTTTCGGGGATGACACGCACCGAGTTTTCAATGTGTTTCGAAGTTTGTGGGAATCCCCAGGGTTTATAAATAAGGACTTCATCATTTATGCATTAAAACGTATATGGTTACCTAGCGACAGGACATTTGTGGACATAATATCGGCTTATGTATTGAACCTTACTGGTGACCAGGCACACAAGAGGGAAGTCGACCTCTTAAGCGGGAAATAGGATTCGAAATGAGTAACTGCCTAATATGTAGAGGCAGTTTTGTCAGTGAAGGTAAGAAAATGTTTTTAAAATGCGTTTTGTGATTGAGGTATAAGTGAAAAATAAATATCCCGCAGTTTCGCATGATAATTAATCATGATATTTGTTACGACTATCAAACGATATAAATTATGGGGTACCATTAAAAATGTAATAACAAATATGTATAATTTGAAGCTTTGATGTATAAAATCTTCAAATATATTAAAACTTATCGAAGTTTCGAAGACTACTCATGAGTATCCCTGAGGACGAGGACAGATGTCCTCGAAAAATCATATGACACAGCTGATAGCCCGAGAAGATTTTATTAAAAAAATATTTGTGTTTTAATGAGAGTTAAGAGCTCCAATAAAAGTGACAGAGAGTTTTCTAGCTGTGATTCGAACCCCGAGCCTTCCAAACGCCAAGTGGGAGTCGTATTTTGTCCTGGATTTAGGGCGTCGTAACCAGATGATGGACTCTGTTGTGTTCGATCGAGCGCTTTCTAGCGGCGCGGAATGGAACATGGTGTCAATACCCTGTTTGAAATGTGCTAAAAATAGACTCAGTGTAACACGAAGCCAGCTTATAATTCTGTTGCTGTTGAAAAATCAATAGGTGTCTTGTAGGAGGCAGGCTTTACAAAGTTCTGCCAGTTTTACGATTGCATTACGAACTTCTTCTGTTTCCTTGAACTGGTTCACTCTAGTCTAGCCTGAATCTGATAACTCACCTCCCTCCGTCTAGTGCCGAGGCCTGAATGCGTGTTTGAAGTAATAACTCCACTTTTCCCACACGTCTTTGTGGCGTGGTGTTTGTACACAAGCAGAGAATCTTCCGAAAGAATGATTGGTTAGTTTTTAGAAAGATTGTATTTTGTTACGAACTCCGTGTCTTTTCACCATCTTCTTAAAATCCAATAATTACTAGTTTATTGCTTACTTAACTTATTTTCCTACCATGATGATCTGCATTTAACGATAACTTAATAATAATATATATTCACGATATCTTATCACCTCAATTATTGATAAGACACAAATAGAATAAAACAATATTTGATAATATGAGATTTGAGATTTGATATTCTTGTGGTAGTGAAGATGTCCGTGTTGATCTTCTGGGTAGAAACGCCAAACAGATTTGTAGGTACATGTCATAGTTTTGAGGAACATACCGATTCCATCCTCGGCGCTGAATATTGAGGCAGTAAGTTTCCCCGACACTAATCTGCCTGTAAGTGTACATGGCGTTACAACCCAGAAGATCAACACGGGCAGTGTCAGATATGTTTCCTTTCACTTCTCTTTTCAAACATTAAATAAATACGTACAGAAGTCTATTGAGTCTGAACGAAATATCCCGTAAGTAGCATGAAAAAGGTTTAAACACAAAATAGAATGCTATCGGACCGTAACACTGCTTCAATAGGCTCGTGTGGAGAGACCGGTCTTCAGTCAGTTGCCTCGCCCTAATCGTATTTCATTTTCGTGGGAAATGGATGATGGCTGATGCTCCTGCAAGAAGGTACTGAATAACACGCGATTATGATCCGTGCTGGATCCAGTCTGCTATATTTTCTCTGAGAGAGACGAATGATTACGTCTTATATGTGACAGAATGTGTCATTTATGATTGTGATCTGTACAACTGATTTCTGTTTCCATTCCCCATGTGTAAAGTAAATATGTTGATGAATGTAGAATGTGTGAAACGCAGTCCGCCTGTACACTCGTGATGATGCTACACGCAGTACAGGCGAGTCGGAGAAGTAGTCGAAAGGACACGGCGCTATCATGAAATTATGTGAAAGTGTTTTAACTTTAATATCAGTCAATTTTTATGCATAAATTCAGTTAGTGCGGGTATCAGAGTGAAAGTCTTCGTTATAATTTGGCATTAATTGCACGAGGCGTTGAAATATCGTCTCATATAGAAAGCTGTAAGTTTAGTTATAACATTTTTAAAACAGTTTCTTTAATCTGGGCCGACTTCATGTATTCGCCATATTACATTCCACCATTTACGTATATTTAAACAAATGTTAAGAATAATTATAGGCCTATTACATATTGATGACTTCTGGCTCCTAGTGTGATTTGAGCAATTAGAAGTAAGCAATTGGTAAGTAAGGATACAAGAAATGCACACTAATTTTTTCAAGAAACATTTACGAAGCAAATTTCAGTGAAATTGCATAAGAACTGCTCTAGTGGCTGTCATATTATTTATGTTACATTAAATATTTAAATTCTAATGCCAGAAAGTTCATTTTATTTATAATTAATTACACGATAATTTTTCTGTTTGCCATTTGCTTCATATAATTTGACATTTAGGGCGCGAAATCCGATTTGCATGCGTTGTGAGCTTTCACTCGTATTTTAGCAAGGGCTCTCATTTAACGCGACATGGGAAAGTGTGGGTGGGTGAGTGGGTGTGTAAATCCTATAAAGCGACAGAATTCACCCTGGAGCCTTGCGGCCTGCAGATGTAATTCTGTGTTTATATTAACGTCGTAAGTCGCGCGTGTACCTCGTAAAGCGAAAAACAGATTCAGGTGCGACGACTGTGAGTTCGGGTGAAGTATTTGAGGCCACAACAGCGCTTAGTGTGAACTGGAATGACGTTTATAGTCGTCACTATTTAAAGTTAAGGCCGCATATACAAGTGCCAGATGTGGATATTACAACGCAGTCATGGAATTACAGTACGTACACCAGTGTTTCTACATTTTGTGCACCTCTGTACACGTTCGAATATTTGAGAACAACAATAACGAATCGGAATGAGATTCACGAGGAAGTTAGGAGGAGATTAAATTCTGAAAATGCTCGCTACTTCTCAGTTCAAAATATTTTGTCTTTCCGACTGACTTCTAAGATCCTTAAGATAAAAAATGCCTGTTGTTTTGTATGGGTGCGAAACATGGTCTCTCACTCAGAGGGAGGAACACAGATTGCAGGTGTTTGAGAATCGGGTGTTGAGGAGGATATTTGGGCCTAGGAGAGAAGACGATGGGGCGTGGAGAAAACTGCATAATGACGAGCTTAAAAATCTGTACTGCTCCCCCAATATTGTCAGGGTGATTAAGTCGAGAAGAATGAGATGGGCTGGGCATGTAGCGCGCATGGATGGGACAAGAGGTGTGGAAGCCTGAGGGGAAGAGACCGCTGGGGAGACCTAGACGTAGATGGGAGGACAATCTCAGGCGGGATCTATGGGAGATAGGAGTTGAAGGAGACTGGATTTTGTTGGTCCGGTGGAGGGCTTTGGTTAATTCGGTGATGAACCTTTGGGTTCCGTAAGTCAATCTAGTTAGTTAGTACATGGTCACGTGTTTATTGAACTGCTATAAATGTAGCTGTTATATTTCCCAACTTCTGCCTATCTTGTGTATCTTTACACAGTACTGTAGAGTATTTAACGAAGCAATGTTTGTCATTCTTATTTC